TGAACTAGGAGCTTTGTGTATGACACTGCAGCTGGGGGAGGGAGAGAATTTTAGCTATCCTGATCATCTCACAAACCATTTGGAAAAATCTATTTCTTGTGGGGGTTTTTGTGGCTTTTTTTTCCCCTCCAGGAAAAGATATTATTTGCAGCATATGTGGCAAGAAAATCTTTTGATCTAGCTCAACACTAATGCAAATTTTTTCCTGCACCTAACAGATATGGTGGCACAAAAAGGACCAGGCAAGTAAAAGATGAATCTCCATCTACTTCAGAGCAAAGGCCAAAATTAATGTCTTTCAGATTAGGAAAGGATTTTAATGGGAGGGATTTTAATGGGAGGGATTTTAATGGGAGGGATTTTAATGGGAGGGATTTTTTCATGGCCTTGGATTTTGCACTGAGGGAGAGATGGAGAGGGAGTAGAACCTGCCATGGTGCCATCTAACATTCACTTGGCAGGTCGGAGCTGAACAGAGTCACAAAGTCTAGTCAGAAACTTGTGTCAGAATCACCTTCAACTTCTTCCTTGAATGATTATCTGTACCCTCAGGGGCAGAAGAGACACCACAATCCACCTTCAACACATACTTCACACCCACTTGTCTTTATCTTAACCTGTGAGGAGCTGCAGCCACCCCAAGGCACTCCCAGAAATGAGGCTCTAAGTGTCTCATCTAAGCATCACATTCTTTAGAAACAAAATAAACCCAAGAAAGGACTAAGCCACTTTTGAAGCTAAGCCCATCCAAGCAGGAGTTTGCAGTTAATTAAGGAAGAGCAAAGTCATCAGTTAGATGACACTGGAATGTGCTGCCCAAGGAGGTGGTGGAATCACCATCCCTGGAGGTGTTTAAGGACAAATTGGACCTGGCACTTAGTGCCATGGTCTGGTTGACACTGTGGTGTTAGGTCATGGGTTGGACTTGATGATCTCAGAGTTTTTTTCCAAACTGGTTGACTCTGACTCAAGTTCAGGAGGGTCCAAGCACTCAGGGCTGTGTTTCAACCACCCTCAGCTCCTCAGCATGGCCCAACCTGCAGAAACTTCACTTGAGGACACCAATGGGCAACATTGCACTGAGTCCATCAGTCAGCAGAGAGAAATGATGAGAAGAAGCTGCAGAAAGAAGTTCACATGGTACACACAATGCTCAGTTCACTGCTGGGCCTGGAAAAAAGTTGTTTACACCTTCACCATGTGACACCCTGTGGCACTTTCAGGGCTGACCCTATACATGTGTTTAATTAAGATTTTGCAGATGATTTTCTCTGTAACTACCTGCACAACCTGCACATCTGATCTGCTTTTAGGTATCTCTGGCCATAGAATGACAAAATTTTGGTTGGAACTGCTTTCCAGACCCATAAAAGTCAAAAATATTTAGGGAAGGAGACAGGAAAATGCTCAAATCAAAACCACAAAGCAAATGTTCATGGAAGGATTTTATACATTAGTTTTTGATTTTCTATGATGAAAACAAACAAAGAAAAATCCGTTAACTACTTAGTGCTAAATAAATTAACAATTGCATTTCAATCAAACTCACTGAAGAGTTCTAATGAAAAATCAATCCTCAATGGATTTCCTGAGAAATAGAAAATCCACCAAAATTTCCTATGTGCAGCAATTATTTCCTGCAAGGCATTTCCACCCCAGCATTGCCCAAACAGGAAAAGGAAAAAGAGAGATAAAACATTCCCTCCTTTACTCCTCAAGAAGCTTGAATGAAAGAGCAAGAAAATGTTGGCTGTTCTCAGAGAATAAGTCAGGACCAGCAATAAAAACTCATTGCACATATTCTAAGAGGAAAAAAAAAAAATCTGAAATAAACAAACAAAACATCTCCCCAACCTTTCCTTCTTCCCAGGATCATCTCCACTCTCCAAACACACAATAACCTCTTCCCAAAATCTTGCCTAGACTATCCAGAACCTTCAGCCTCCCAGAACCTTCAGCCTCCCATCCTCAGCCCTGCAGGTTGTTCTTCCCAGTTGGGAAGAAGTTGTTTGGAGACAGAGGGAATGTCTCAGGCAGTGAAAATTTCCTTCTGTTGTGCCAATCTCGGAGGGTTTTACACCAAAGTTTGCACCCAACTTCCTGGGATAAGCATCTTGTTCCCAAATCCTCCCATTCCCTCCAAGGCTCAGAGCACACCACAGTGTCTGGGCTGATTTGGGGACATCCCTAGGGCTGGGGAGGTCACATTCCACCTGTGTTTGTCCAGACAGATGAGTTATTTTGCTTTGAAATGCGATTAGCATGATTGAAACTTGAAATGTCAGCAAGGTGCCTAGAACCTCAGAGAGGAGAATCTGAGTGGGTTTGTTTTCCTGATGGGTATAAATGCTTTGTGAAGAGAGTTCCTGCAGTGGCAGGGGAGAGTCAGCAGAGCCTTGAGTGTTGTTAGAGTCATATTCTGACCCTTCCTCACAGACCTGGCACAGCCCTGAGCCCCACAGAGGAGCCAAACCAGCCCCAAACTCTGTGCCCATAGCACAGGCTGCAGTGCCAGCCCTGGGAACAGCAGTGGAGACATGGACAGATAAATATTTCCAAATAATATCATGGTAGAGCTTCTCTTTGATAGCATTTTAATAGCTCCCGGTCAAACTCGCACTCAGGGGAGGCTGAAAATCAGCACAGAGCGAAACAAAAAATATTTGGTGGGAACTGAATAGGGACAGAGAAATAAAAGGGGTTGAATTGAGGATTTTGAGGCAGTTGCCATCATATCTCTACCTACAGGCAGGAGATGTGGGGAGAAGGGAAAAGCCACTGGAGGTGGGAAAAGCATTTCCAGCCAGGGATGAGAAATGTCCTGCTGTTCCCTTCTCTGTGCTGCTTCAAACCACACCAAGGAAATTTGTTGCTTTACCTTCTGAATTATGATTTCTTAGGGAGGTGAAAATTATTGTCCTCAAAATATTTCTAAATACCACATACAATACAAGCAGAATTTTCCGGATGGATAGTTGGATATTAGGGATTTTTTTCCCCCCCTCTCACAGCGCGTGATCTTTATTATTTTACATGAAGAGAAACCCACAAAAAGGAAGCAAACATACACATTTCTATCGTTTCTATTTTATATAGCAAACAGGGACACATTTCCCCACACAAACCCGCATATCTCCTACTCCAAAACGCCCTGAAAGTGCTACTAACATCGATGGAGAACCAGATCCAATTCCCGATAAACCAAAATTTAAGGAAAATAAATTAAATAACCTAACGAACCACCGTGTTGCTAGTGTGGCAGAGGTTACACAGGTGATATTTGAGCCAGCACAGCCTCTGCTCCAGGTTTTTACCGAGGAAATCTCTATTCGCAGCATCTCCTCTGTGGAGATGCAGAGAGCTCCCAGAGCAATTCAGCCAGGAGGAAAAAAAAAAAAAAAAGAAAAAAAAAAAAAAGAAAAAAGAAACGATAAAAAAAATCTTCATTTACCTGGAAATTAAACCCATTTCCCTGGCAGGAAGGGAAAGGCAAAGCGAGCACGGTCGGTGGCTGCTCGGGCTCACCGCGGCTCGGGGAGATGCAGAACAGGAGCCAAACGAGGCAGCAGCTCCAGGGCTATTTGAGAGGAAAAAATACAGGGTAATTCACACCTGAAAGCCGGGAAGGAATCAAACTGCCGCCGCAGGTGATTCTCCCAGCTGTATTAAAAAAAAATCCCTTTTTCTCGCTACTGTCGCGTTTCGTCCTAGCAGCAGGAGCGAGTTATTTTGTGATGCTTCCAATTGCCTTATCCACATCGGAATTAAATAAACGGCAATGTTGGTCTTACCTGATTCTTTCGTAGCCTTTTCTATTACATTTTTTTTGTTTGTTTTGAGAATATACATGTCCTGGAAGCTCTGCCCTGGATCAGTCCCGTCCTACCGCACTAGGGATGGAGACTGCGAGGATTTAGGGATTCGGGATGGGATTTGCCCTTCCTTTCGCTCCCAGGAACCACAACATTGCTGCCACGAGGATACATTTATTTTCAACTCGAGGAAAGTTCGGGGAACGGAGAGAAAGTCCGACATTTCCAAGGGAAGGGGAAACCTAAAGGAAACTCGCCTTGGTTTACTCCCACCCATCAGACTTCCAAGCCAAGCTCAGGCTTGGGGTGATGCTGGGGGGAACCGTGGGGTCCTGACCCCCTCGGGGGCATCGCTGCCTTCACCCCGGGGAGGGAAAAGGATCAACCCTCCCTTCCCCAGCCGTGCCCCATCCCCTGTGCTGTCCTCGAGGCTGGGGAGGTGGGAACAGCAGCCCCGGAGAGGCAGGTGAGGTCGGGTCGGACCCCAACGCTCCTACAGGCGGTGGGGGCCGGGGCAGAGATCCCCTTCCTCCAGGATATCCACCTCGTCCTCGGGGTC